TATTAAAATGGAAAGGAGGTGAAACGATTATATGGTATGTGAGTTTAGATTAAACTCAGTTGGAAATATACAAAGCCGTTACATGATATTTCTGCCTCTCTAAATGTATTTTATTTAAGTCTTATATTCATGAATGCATGCAAACATTATTACTTTTAGCACTTTTCCAACAATTTTTTGAAAAGTGCTTATTAGTTTCACTCTGCCCGTCCGTCCGTGGACACTTTTTTTGTTTACAAAACTTTTACACCCTTGAAGATAGAAAGCTGAAATTTTATATGTACATAGATCTTTACTAGAAACTTACTTCCGTAGAACAAAATTTTTACCTATCTCCCCCCTCTAGAAATTATACAACCCCAAAACCCTAAAAATGGTCTTTTTTAACTATTTGTTGCAATGAAACCATAAGCATTTTAGAAACTTTGCAAACGCACAAAGGCAGCGGCTTGCTTCCCCTAGCGCAGTATATTATAGTTAAACTTTAGAAAAACAAAATGGCCGTTCAAATTTACCGTTATCTAATGTCCTTTTTTTCCAAATTTTTGATTTCGTTTTTCTTCTACACCCCAGACTGTAGAAATTTTAGGAGCTTTTCGACATTAACAAATAGTTCATTTCATCAGAAGAAAATTTTTTTCCATCTCCACCGCCTCTCAAGTTATCGCCCCTTAAAATTTCTAAAATTTGAATTTTTAACGCCATATATTTCCGAAACCGCAAGCTTTTTCAAATTTCTATAAACGCAAAAAGTTAACGGTAAATTCTATGACATTAAAAAATATAATTATTTTTCTTAACTCACACAATTAAACCTTTAAATCGAGGATTATGTTAACCCCACTTTATATTAATTTTAGCTTTATTTCAAAGACTGCATATATGCATCATCCTAAATATATGCAATCCTAGAAATAGTTTTGTATATGAATGAAAATATTTTTAATAGTGTGGGAGGTGTACATAGACTGTATTTAAAAGCAGAACTTTCACTTGTTGAAGGGAAAAGTGCTACAATACAAACCATTGGTTTGACCCAACTTTATTTATTAAAATTATCAAATTTATAAATATTATATACGAAATTATTATTAATACTCGTAGTATCAAAAGTCAATAAGTGTAAATATTTTTTTGTAACAAGTATTAATATAAAATTTGTTTTGTTTTTGCTTTCGATTTTCCAATGCATAATTGAGCTTATTCATTGTATTCATGTGTAAGGTAAAATTTTCAAATAAAGGGAACGTTTAATGAAAAATTTAAAAAAAAATTAGTTTACGTCGAAATTTATAATGGTTTGACGGTTTTCGTGTTATCACAAAATATTATAAAGTTAACAATTATACATCGGAAAATTTAATTAGATTTATTTCATTTTTATATTTTTTTATCGGTCAAGGACATAGTTTATAGGCTATCAGATTTTCCTTCAATGGTTAGAAAGTTTGCGTTTATAAACCTTAGACCTAAGAAATAATCAAAAAAATTTTTTGCCATTAAATTTAGCATAAATTTAGGAGCTTTAATTGATTTACTTAATATACCCAGTATACATATAAATAATTTTTAAATATGTAATTAATTTGCAAGCTCAATTCGGTAAACTAGTATTTGTTTACAGTTCCTAATAACAGAGGAAGTAATTTCTAAATTTTCTTTTATAAAATAGTATTTGTTTTTCAAGCATATTTTAATATTTTGAAAAACAGGAATTTTTGTCTTTTTATTTATAGGTAAATAAGCATGACAAGAACAAGGAACGGCCAGTGTATGATTGTTTACCCTATATAATTTTATTATCCTATTATTATAATTATTATCGTTTACATAATCCTTATACGTATTAGAAAACTTTGTCTCGATTTCATTTTAATTTACATTGTATATGTAAAAAACTCTGATAATATTTTTAATTGGATTCGTGTCAATACAAATAATTATACAATACATGTATATAAATATGTTATATATGCAAGTTTGTATGTATGGATGTAATATTAAAGACTATATGTAAATACGATTAGGTATGGTTAATAAAATTCATAAATTTAATAAAACATGTAAACTTTGTATAGATATTTTAAATATCTATATGCTTTTAGGCATAATACTTGTACATATTGTGTAGGTATACATGCATACATACCTACATATAAGTGTATATAAAATGCAAAAAATTTCACTTCAGGCACTTTTTATATTGAAAAAGTAAATATTGAAAATATTTGTAAAAAGAAGGAAAACAAATGAAAAATTAAATTAAAATGATTACTTTTTTTATTAAATTTAATCGATTATTTTGTATTTTATTTTAATTTTTTATTTTAATATAAAAAAAGAATTAAATAAAATATAATATGGAAAAAATTCAGTCCATTTTTCAAGATTGTTGTCAAAAATATTTATAATTTAATGAAATTTAAATAGATTTTCTTGTTAATATTTTGTACAAATTTATTTTAGTAGAATTTTAAATTTTTTTGCTTTTTATACAATAATATTAATTGGATTTATAAGTTTAATGAATACCTTATAATGCTATTTGTCATTTTTAAATTTTTGAATAAATAAAATGAATTTAAATTTTGAAAGCAAAATTTCAATAAAAATTTTTATTTGTCAAATAAGGTCGAATTAAAAAAATTTTCTTGAAAATTTATTTTTCAATACTTAAGAAAATCTGATTAATATTTTCAATAATTGAATTTAATTGATAGAATGACAAGCAATAATTGACTAATAAATTCGATATTAATATTACTTAGGTAAGGTTTTTGTATTCAAATTTGCTTTTTAAAATATGATAATAACATGTAAGATATTATACATATATGAATATAATATAGATAGATACGGTTCTTAAAAATTTCTACTGGTTTTTAGAGTAATAATTTTGGTCAAAAATATTTCATAGTTGATAATTACAGCAACTAAAATCATTAAAAATCAAAAATAGCGACAATTTTCTGATTTTAATATGGACTTAAAATCTTAGGCATAGAGATGGTTTTGTGCTATATCTCCTGCACGATAATACATTTTTTAACGATTGGGAACTTAAATTAAAGCTTAAGCAGCTGGGAAAAATTCTATAAAAATAAAAATTCCAAAGGAGATTCACGAAAAATTTCACACGAAATTTTCGAATTAGAGAAATCTAATAAAATTAAAATAAGGGAAAATTTTGATTTTTTCTAAAATTTCAATGCGTGTTATGCCGAAAGTGTATAAAAAATAAAATTAAATAATATGTTGCTTTTCTGCAAAAGTCCTTTCAAAAACTGTTCATCGAAACCTTATATCTTTTTCGGGAGTAAGTTATTTAAATATTTTGAAAAAATTCGTTAAAATCGCTTTATCTCAGAAACGCGTTGAGATTTTGACAGCTACTTCCAATTAAAAATTTTACAAATTTTCGGTGCCCTAAACAATGGTATTTAATGTTGTACCTTTTGTTGATTAACCCTGTATAGGATCATAATTTTGTTATAATTTATTTTTTCATACTTGATAAGAATGAATTATAGTTCATAATGTTATTTGAGTGGAATAGAACTTTTGCAGTGATTTCGAAATTAGTTTAGTAATGGTTGTTACTTAGTCAAAATTTTGCTACAAAAGAATATGTGAATATTTTCATAAATTTCTCAGTCATACACTGAGTTTGTTTTTCATCGCAATAAGTGATGTCATTTTAATCGCAAATAATAAGACAAACAAAATTATTTGCGATTTTGAAAATTCAATTGGAAATTGGATTAAGAAGTTTAAAAATTTCGTAGTAATTGTGAGTGATATTTTTTAATTTTTTCCATAATGTAACCTGCTAGCTTCCAAATAATTATCTCATTAGCTATTTTTGTATTACGAAAGATGAGCGTACTTATTACACTAAAATGCAAATGATGCTTGAATCATATTTCTGGAATAATATTGACAACAACAAAATATTATAATATGTATATAAAATGACACAAATATTAATTTATCATTATCATTATCGTAATATGTAATTACAAAAATACTAAAATAATTGAATTTCATATAATTTTAGTTTCCAGGGAAAAAATTATATTTGATTATAAATTCATACTTTAGATAATTCTCGTGTAACCTTTAATTTAATTTGGTAATTCATCACAATTAAACCATTCATTCAAATTTATTATATTACATTAATATAAATAAATAATATAATAATCATTATAATGTTATTGATTTTACTATTGTTTAGAATTATAATCATGATGTTTTACGAAATAAATATTCTTTAAATATTTTAATTCGGTTTAAGATAGAATTAATTTTTTTTTGTATTTAATCATAATGAAGTTTACTTGTATTTTTACACAATAACATTATAATATTCATAAAATCTCAATTTCTATATACTATTATAATAAAATGTAGAAATTATCAAGAAATAAGTAAATAATCTGCAAATATTATATTAATAACATAATTTTCAATTCATTTATTAAATTAAATAATATTGAATTATAGAATAATATTTATGTACTATATTCAGTATATGGAAAACATGATCCAAAGAATGAATCATTATAGTTGCAATGGTTTAATATTATATAAATTATTGTTAATTAAAAGTCGTAACACTCTATATCAGAGTATTGTTGTTCTATATGAAATTTAAAAACCGAAGAACAATTCAACCATATCATATCATTTATCAGTTGCTATACACTATACAAATCTTAAATGAAAATTCGAGTAGACAAGTAAATTTTTAATTTGATATCGAGAAAAATTCTAAATAAAATTGAATACAATTTAATATTAAATATTCAAAGTGTTTCCATTTGAATGCTCCAGCCTACACACAATAATTATAATTGTATTCATATATATACTGGATTATACATTATATTATTATATTACTATATTGATATAAGTGATATTGTGATACCGTATAAGAAAAATATAATGAAAATAACATACATATATATATTATAGTTTTATATTGAGCATATACTTACAAACAACATTTAATTTCCATAGGGTTTCCAAAAATAATCCGGTGACATTTGGATTCTCTGAACGACATGTTATTGATTTACCATCATCATCTGTTGTTGGCACAAAACTTAATTCAGAACGGCTGACATTATTATTTAGAATTTCATCCTGAAAATAATTATTATTTAAAGGACCATGAAGTATAAAATATATTATTATATAATGTATACACATACCTAGATATTACATAAAAAATATATAATCATGTATTATATTAAGAATGTTTATTAGAATGTATATAATATATAGAGATGGCAGAAAATATTTACTATGATTGTATATAATTAATTTTTAGAAAATAATATTTATTAGTAACCTATTAAATATGATAATAATAATAAATTTTATAAAATAATTATATAATATTATAATTATATGGTGTATAAAATATTATATGGAATATTGTTAAATTAGGGGTTTATTATAAATATTTTTTAGTTTAATTTAATTTCAAATTATTTTAAGTATTTTAATTGTAATAACAATAGTTATTATTATTATAAAATTAGGTTAAAAATTTCTATTTTATTTAGTTCTTGTGTATTTTATATTAGTTTTACAAATTTTATATAGCGAAGAACATGAGGAAAATCGAAAAATGCATACAAAGCATATTAAAATGTAAAGCTTTAAATTTTAAGTACAATAAAAATTATGTGCTATGTGGTGTATGAAATAAAAGTTAATCATAGGTATCAGTTAGGCCTCAGATAAACTTATTTGCATGTGGTCATACAGTTGCATGTGGGTGCGCTTATAAACCTATGGAATACAAACAAATAATCAAACAGTTGCCTATATGTCTGAACCCTTAAATAAACACGAAAAAATTTGATTTTTTATTTTACGCTAATATTAAAGAGAATTAACCCAAAACATCTTAATTAAGCGAAAGTAATTCATTTCCGATTTTAAAATTTGAACCAGAAAATGAAAGCAAAAAATTTTTAATGAATACCATTTCGTTTTCAATATGTTCTCTAAAAAATGCATAAAAAAAATTTAAGGAAATTTCAGAAAAAAATTTTTTGGTGACTCGTGGCCAAAAAAATTTCTTACTTAAATATTTGATATTCAATATCGCAGCTTAATTAAATACCCTTATATTAATTTCACTTGAATCTTGCTAATGATGTCTTTTTTTCTTGTTAATTTTTAAACACTAGCTCTTAGATGACTTAATGAACTGGAAGGGGGCTCGCTAAAAACTTTTTGGTGGCGCCTTGATTCTATTGGAAGTGTTTAGATGTGGGGTTGCAGTTGGGTGGAGAATGGGGGGAGGAGTTAAACCTTTTACATTTCATCCTTAAAAAATGTTTGTCTCTAAGAATTATCGTGGAGTTTAGTTTGAACGATTTTAAGAGGGACAGTACTAACTTTTGTCCATAAAAACTTAATCTTAACTATTTTTGAGCAGCATACAATAGTACTGGGTTACAACGGTACATCTAGCTTTGTAATCATTTTCAAAAATCAAAAAAAAGTATTTGCAGTATTTCAATTATTCGATTTTTCTGGGGTTTGTATAAAATTCGGTTTTTTTCTGCAGTGAAAATTTTCATTGTCCTGCAAATAAAGATCATGATGTGTACAGTTTAAAATCTTATAATTCTTTGTTTTTCTTCATTTTAAAATCACTATTATTATAATATTATTGGTACAATTTTTTTATAATTGTTGTAACACATACATGTTGATTGGCATTCACTTTATACAGCTTGTTAATTTTAGAGGGAGTTGAAATTTTTAATGATTGTCATTAATACAAATTATTACAAATATTTTTTTAAATTTGAATTCCATCTGACTTAAATAGCTACATGTACAACATACGAAACATTTTTAAAATTATTTAAAATTCGGAATTTAAATTTCATACAATTTATTAAACATATCCGCTTCTAAAAAAAAAATACAATGAAAAATATATGATTTTGAAAAAGTTTATTTTAATTTTGCCTACAGCTAAAAATATGATATTAATTTTTCAGATTAATGTAATTTAATTTAGACGATAATCGAATTTTTGATCAAAAAATTATTAGTTAGGGGAGAAATTGAATTTTCTAAATTTTTTTATCAAAATTACGGAATATATGGGTATACAGCCATTAAGATTTTTAATATTTAAATAAAGGTGCATGTAATTTAAGTGATTGTTCTCAGTATGAATTCAATAGGATACAGAAAACAATTCTCATACCATATTTTCTTTTGCAATTATAAAATTTTTTAATTACTCGTGAGAACCTTAAAGAAGAACCAGTTAACTAACGTCATATCTTGTAATGCCGAGCAAGGCATTATAAAAGGTCAAAATTGAACTTTACTATTGGCAAATTCAATTTTTTGCATAACATTTTCCTATTCTTCGACGAACTTTGAGCTATCGTTCCATTTAAAGTTCGAAAATTTCTTTACATATATGTATCCAAAAAAAAACAGGATTTCTAAGTAGCTATTTTGTTTCTGTGAATAACCAACATCAATTGTATTTCGTATAATGGTTAAATTTAAGACATACGAAAAAGTTTATTAAGAGTTTTAGTGCTAAGACATCTTTCATGTCAGTACCCTTGAAACTCTTGAAAGAGAAGATCTAACCCTCGGAGAAGAAGATAAAAAAAAACGGGGTCAAAATTTACATGTAACTTTATTCCTATATAGGACCATTATAATAATTGTATTAAATTCTTCATTAAATTAATTTTTTTTTCAAATATGAAAATAAAATAAAAAAAAAAATGAATTTTCAGCCAATTTTGTTTTGACTTTGTTCTATTAAACATTACGACATTATTTCGACAGATATTTAATCCAACGCAAAAAGTGTCACTGTTAAAAATTGTTTTTTTGTTTAATTTTAGAAATTGTGCTTTAAAACCCTAAAGCTATAGAAGCCATGAAAACTAGAGGAAACATACAATAAAAGCAGAAGAAAAACAAAAAAAACGATTAAACTTCCTAGAATCAGCTTAGCACAAATTTACTTCCTTCCGGTAAAAATTATTTATTTAATTGAAATAATTTTATCGTTTTTTTCTCGCAATATTAAAAAAAAAGCAATGAAATGAATAAAAATAAATGGAACAGAGGCGACAATGCAGGGTGGAAAGTGTATAGGAAAATTCAAACAGAACCGAAAAAAAAATGTTTTTTTCATCACACTTATTGTCTTTTTGAGTTTTTGCTAAACTCTATAAAATTTCCAAAAAAAACATGTTTGTAAATCCCCGAAAGGAATAAAAATTATTCTCTATGAAAATAAAAGAAAAAGTTTTCAAATTAAAAATAACATCACAGTTACAAATTTTGGTCAAAAACCATTCAACAGTTTCGTTGAACAACAACAAAAAAATTTAAAAATAAAAAAAACAATGTTGAAAGTAAAGTTTTTTTACTTTTATATTTTTAGAAATTTAATTTTTTATTTTTTATAAAATAAAATTTTCGCAAATATTTTTCAAATAGAATAACAATAATAATGTTGTTGTTTTTAGCACTTTTCAAAAACAATTTTGAGAAAAGTGCTCATTAGTTTCACTCCGTCCGTCCGTCCGTGGACATGTTTATAAAACTTCTACACCCTTGAAGATAAAAAGCTGAACTTTAATATGTGAATAGTTCTTTACTAGAAATTTATTTCTGTAAAAGAAAATTTTTACCTATCTTCCCCCCTCTAAAAGTTATACCCACTAAAACCATAAAAATGCCATTTTTTAATTATTTATTGTAGTGAAACCGTTTTTCAGTGCAATAGTTTTTCAATTGCAGTGAAAATAATTTTTCAAATTTTGCAAACGTAGAAATATAGTGCATGACTTCTTCTAAAATGATATACTTTAATTGAATTTAAAAAAAAACAAAATGGCCGTTAAAATTTACCGTTATCTAAAACCTGTTTTTTCAAAATGTTTAATGTCGTTTTTCTTCTATACCACAAGTTGTATAAGTCTAAAATTTTAACAGCTGTTAGACACTAATAAATAATTCATTTCAATAGAAGAAAATTTTTTCCCATCTCCATCTCCTCTCACGTTATCGCCTCTCGAAATTTGTAAAATTTGAAAATTTTATTATTTATTGAAAATTTATTGGAATTTATTGAAATTTATTTGAAAAATTTATTATAAAATTCCTTATATTTCCGAAACCGCATGCTTTTTCAAATATCTATAAACCCAGAAAGCTAACGGTAAACTTCTTGCCATTAAAAAATATATTTATTTTTCTTATGTTAACCCTTCTTTAAATTAATTTTTGCTTTATTTTTGCTATAATTGTTTTTAAAGGTAGTATTTTCACCTTTTGAAGAGAAAAGTGCTACAATACAAACCATTGGTTTGATCCAACTTTATTTTTTTTGAAAACAAAAAGTTATTCGATTATAACTTATAGAAATAGCGTTTAAATCTCTACCAGTACGTGAAAAATTCTGGAAGACTAGGATTTTAATTCGGCTTTTAAAGATTATTTCTCTCAATTATTAAATTTTAGCTAAATAAAGAGTTTATTTGTTGTGCTGTCGGTTTTTCTGATAGTATAATTCTTAAATTTAAAAGTTTTTATATTCGCCAAGCGCTCATTATTAGAGAATTGGAATTACAGAAGGCAAACAGAAGTTTTATTTATAGGCAGTTATTGTTTGAATGTTTCAAACACAAAGTTTCACAGAATTTCGTAATACTGTAAGAATAATAAGAAGCAGTAACATGTCTGGCTGCAATAATCAAATTTTGTTTTATAAAATTCTCTAACAATAATTATGTTAAAACTTATTTTTAGTACGTTGTATAGTTTGATGCGAAAAATTGTATAATTAAATGCCAACCAGTTTATCCTAATCAAATAAATTGAAATTAAATTTCAACGTACTTGGCTACATTACATGTATAGTGTTGTCAGTGGCATTTATTTTAATAAAAATTATTTTACCAAGATTAAAAAGAGAATCTCCAGAGAGCGCAAAAATAGTTTCATCAATTAAAAATCCCTTTTTACATAAGTTTAGTTACTTTGATCTATGTCCTTTAACAAACACATTGGAAGATATTTTTTAAATTTTTCATTTAGGTCTATTGTATATTTTATACTTTTTAAGAATATAAACGAAAATAATAAGTTTAAATACTTAAATAATATTAATAAAGAACTAAATTGCAGATAGAAGGTGCGATTGCAATAAAAATTTTGCTCATGATGCTAGAGTATATGCTTTACCTAGGACATTAAAGAAGCGGAAAATAATTTGCAGAACGGTTTTAATTCATAATTTTTAATCAAAACTGCATATCTTAAGGACTGCATTTAATTTGTAACTACTGAAAAATTTCCTCAAGTTTTAAAAAACTTGTTCTTTGACCGCTTCCATATTTTTCCTTTTTAAAATTTCTATAAAGCTCTTAAATTCTTTTATAAAACAAAAACTTTATTTTTGATTTCCATACGTCATTTTTTGGTTTTTTGAATTAGATTTTTTTTTAATTCTAGTCCAATAATTTATTACCGACCGTATTGTGTATACAATAGGTAGGTTATGTGATGGCAACAAATTTTGCGTATCGAGTTTTCGGTGGAAATGCACTTCTCCATAGTAGAGAAGTGTAAATAAACTATTTTTAGCAACCTGTTGGTCTGTCGGTCTGTGTGTACGCGTGTATCTCAAGTTCGGCTGAACCGTTTTTGACGAAATTTTATATGTAAGGTTATTTCCACCATGGCACGGATTGATCAACTTTTGGGATATATCAGGCCTCGGGAACTGCACTTTTAAGCGGGCCTGTTTTACATTTTTGAACATTTTGAAGAAAGTATTCAACCGATTTACTTGAAATTTCATATATAAGCTGTGCTCGACCGTCCGCAAAAATTCCTAACTTTTGGAAGAAATCAGGCATCAGCAACTGGACGTTTACTACGGGCCAAATATACATTTTTGTGTATATAAAGAGAAATAATCAACCGATTTCATTGAAATTTAATACATGAACTCCTCGTATTAAAACAATGAACATATAGATTTTTTGGAAAGATTAGGGCTCGAAAAGTGATTTGCGGGCCGATTTTATATTTCTCACCATTTTGAAGAAAATATTCAACCGATTTACTTAAAATTTTATATATAAGCTGTGCTCGACCGTCCGCAAAAATTCCTAACTTTTGAAAGAAACCAGGCATCAGAAACTGGGCGTTTTTTTTACGGGCCAAATATACATTTTTGCGTATATAAAAAGAAATAATCAACCGATTTCATTGAAATTTAATATTTAAAATCTTCGTATTGAAACAATGAACATATAAGTTTTTTGGAAAGATCAGGGCTCGAAAACTGATCTGCGGGCCGATTTTACATTTTTCACCATATCTACGGAACGAATTGATAGAATTTCTTGAAATTTGGTAATGGAGTTCTGGTTGTTACCGAAACTAACCTGCGAGCATTTCAGGGAATTTGGGTAGCACAAAGCGAAACTCTACTAAGAGCTAAATTGACATTTTTATAGGTATGTTAACTATAAGCTTTCTAATGTCCTAAAAATTGGAAAGAAGTATTTAACAGACATTTTTATAATATTCTATAACACTTTCACTTAACTAGACAATACACATGTTAACCTAAATTTTATCCGAATAATATGTAAATCTTTTGTAAAAAAAAAGTCAAACCCAAAATGTGTATACGTGTAACATGTAATACAATAACTAATCTAAGGGTTTATATTTCAAAACAAAAAAAAGTCTTATGTGGCAAGAACATAGCTTACCACATTGCCTATTATATATGAAATTTTATTTTTTTCTTATTAAATTCTGATAGACGTAATCCTTTACAAGGTTGACTAATCTTTTACAAACAAAATTATAAAAATTTATTTTGTACAAAGATTTTAAATTTTGTGAATATTAATTGCAAATATTAATAATATTAATAAAGTTCGAATTGCGATTTTTTAATATTGCTATATTAGGGAGACAACTAAACTTTTCTGAACGCATAACTGCTCATTATGCCTCTAGTTCATTCAAAAAATTTATACGTTCAAAAAATTAGGTACTATTAAACTCAAATTTTAATTTCAATTAAACTAGACCGTATTCACACTAAAATGCTTTTTTAGGGAAATGAATTGTTTTTTTTTTTAATTTTCTTTAATGCGGCTTGCAGTTAACGTAGTTACATTAGTGATTAACAATTTAGGATTATGATTTGGGCAATATTGTAATGAACCAGACACGGAGACTGCTTTTTCAAGAAATTTAAGGAACAATTGGAGTGAGAATATTTTGTAATACTATAAAATAGTGCGAATTAGGTTACGTTCTATGTAACAAATACGATACATGGAACAAGTATGAGACGAAAAGTAAGTTAAAATCGTAGAAATGATGAAAATTCATGAGAACTTACAAAATCATGTCGAACCTGTCCAATAATTTTGTATGATAATTATATTGTACAACCTTTCCCTTTAAATATGCTCAGATAGTACTAGTATCTACACTTATTCCAAATTATCTAAGATGAAAATATAATTTTGTTCGATGTTTACTGAATTCAATGAACATTTTGGCATACATACGTTTTGGTTTAAATTATTTAGTTGATAAATATTAACTAAATAAAAGCATATTTTGGGAATTATACCACTTTTAATAAATTTATCACAGTGTAAAATTTTATTTTTAAACAAAACTTCCAATTTAACATCACCCTTGCTTAACCAATTTCCCACGATCAAAACAAAAATTTTTAAACTTTTCACTGTCGAATTTTATTTTTTTCATAGCATTTTTTTTGGCTTTTTTAATAGTTTTTATAATTACAGTAATTGTAGACTGAAAAACGGTACATTCTGGATACTATAGTGAAACTATCACATTAACGATAAAAAATTAAAGTTTAAAAGTATGTGTATTTTTTTAATACTAGTAAGGGGAAAATGAATTTGTATAAAAGTGTTGAACAATTTTTTAACTATAGAAAAAAAAAACTTTTATTCTTTTGTTATAAATTCCATTCATTTAGAAATTGTTCACGATATAAAAGGATTTTTATTTGTAAAGTTGGTGCTGTGATGAAGATTTTAATAGTTAAAGTTGATAAAAAAAATTATAATTTTTTTTGTGCAAAAGTTTGAAAATTTTATAGTGATTTTACAAAAAATTGTGACCTCACCTTGCTATAAATTGTAACTATAGTCTACACCGGATGAATTTTTAAATTGAAATTTTCTTTAAGTAACAAATGGATTTTGTTTTAGGGGATTCAGTAAGGAAAAAATTTTTAAGGTCCTTATAAGAACATAATATTAAAATTGTTTAATAAAGCCATATTGATTTAATTCAGTTATAATTCATAAAGTCACATTGATTGTGGTTTAATAGGTATAAGAAAAACATTGTGCCTTTAAAATAAATAGTGAAATTTAAGTAACAATATTATTGTGAGTGATTCAATAAATTGTTTTGACACATTTGCAGTGCGTTTATTATTAATTTGCATTATTGATAATATTAAGAAATAATTTAAGTTCAAGAATAGATTCTCAATTATTTTGCACTCGATTTTTATTTTGTTTAATAGCATTACTGTTTAGTTTTCCTCTCATTTATAATTCAAAAATCTATCTGCCGTTCAAACTTTTTCGAAAAAACTTTCTTGAAAAAAAAAATATCTGATGTGATCCGAACATAACCGACTGCAATCCCTATTGTCTAGTTTAGCGAAAATGTTATAGACGATTATGAAAGTACGTACGTTTTAAATACTTCTTTTCAATTTTAGTTAATAAATCAAGGAGAACGTAAACTTTGTGTCATCCTAAAATCCTACTTGTTAGTTTCGATAACAACTAGAGCTCACACATTAAATTTCTAATTGATGGAATTTCTTGAAATTTCTGTTCCCAAATGCCTCATATATCCCAAAAGTAGGTTCAGCTGAATTTGTGATACACGCATTCATACACGCGACAATCCGACAGAGAAATATGTTACCGCCGAAAACGCGATGTGCAAAATTTGGTACCATCACATATTCTCTCCAATTGTGTAAAATACGGTCGGGTAAACAAAGAAGAAAGATAACAGAATTGAAAATTAATTTTTCTCTATTGCAAAATTCTTTTTCATTATTTATATTACAATAATTTCTAATAATTTAAAAATAATTGTTGCACTTATTGTTACTACAAAAACCTGACATTAATACTTACTCTTGTTCTTCTTAATTGACGTTTTCCTTTATACCATGTTATAATAGCATTGGGTCGACTGCCGGAACTTTCACAAATAACTTCATAACGACGATCAGCTACCATTGATACAGGTGGATCAATTATTTTAACTGTTAAAGGTTTTACTGAAAATATTTAAAAAAGAAAAAGGTTTTAAATAACAAAGTTGATATTTTCCAAAAAAATGCAAAGTGAAAAACTTACAATGCATATCAAGAATAAAACTTTTCTCTTTTGGTTTCACTAATAGTGTATTGATTGCTTGACATGTAAATACTGACTGAAGATCTGTACGTTGTACTGATGGCCATAATAAACGATTTTCAATAACATCACCAGAATTATGTTCATATTGATTATCAACTAAAAGGCCATTAACTAACCATCTTACTTGAGGTTGGGGTCGACCTAATAATTAATATAATAGACATTTAATATTATAATCTCAAAAAATGATTAAATTCAATTTGTTTAGATTTTTTTGTTAAATTATTTAAATTTGAAAATTTCATTTTTCACAAAGGAATTCACTTGTCTTATAAGATTTGTCAGCTTTTTTAAATTGGAAACAATATGAAGATGTTTTACTTATTTTAAAACGTCAGCTCGTTGATGAAGTGATAAATAAACTCAACTAATTTACAGAACTATTATAAACTGCATTCAATCTTTTATGTAGGCTTGCAGCTATGGGGTTGTGCCAAGCACATCGAACAAATACAAACTTCCCAGAATAAGATCCTTCATAATATTGTGGGTGCTATCTGGTATGTGCGCAATAGTGATATACATAGTGATCTGGGTGTCCCCCAAGCAAGTGAGGAGATAAGGAACTGTGCCATGAAATAAAGGGTGCGTTTGAAACAGCCTGTAAATGTCGAGGCGTCCCGACTTGTATTGGAGAGGGTTTTGGCAAAAAGAACGAGAACCCTCGAATTAGCACGAAACGATAATCAATCGTTTTTGTAAAATAATATTTTTAAAAATAACAACATTTGTTTGGCTTCACATTCCAATTACAATTCAAAAGAAATACATTCGAGTCGTTATTTTTAAATATTAGAATTCAAAGGAAAAATAATTTATAATTTTTCGTGGAAACTGGAAAATAATAATGAAACGCCCTTTTATATTGTTTGCAATATAACTGTAAATTTTCTAACTAAATATAAATTATTATAATATAAAGTGAAATATTTCATTTTTATTTGGAAAATGATATAATCTATTAGAATCTAGATAAATTCATGCATATGCGAATGAATTTTGATACCCACTTGCGATACTTTTGAAATATTTACTTGCAATACGTGTGAACTTACAAAAACATTATGTATAATCGAGTTTATTTATGGAATTCCACTTAAATCCTTGATAATAAAGCATAATTTTCGATGAAAATACAATGAAACCTATATGCTGTAATTTTTCCAGGACAATATAATATTGTGTTTACTCTAAACGCAATATGTGCAATATTGCAATAAAATATTTTTCGATCTTACATTAATTTTCATTTTCATGAGAATAACTAATGCTAATAAATTATTTTTATCTTATTTATTTAAAATTGGTGAACAATAAACAGTTGAAAGGATTGCACTAAATTGGAAATATAGATATCTATACTCATCTATGTGCATATATGTGGCCATATATGTACGTAGTAGTGTGTGTTTACTTTTGAATTTTAGTGTATTTTCGCAGAAAAATTAAAGTAAAAGTATTGAATTATTTTTTTTATTGGAACTGTTCAGCGACTAAAATTATCAATTTCAAACCACTGAATTGTTACAATTATTGGGTTTTAATTAAAATAAATATGTATTTGTTGTGAAGGGTTATTCAAACAAAGTATTTAGTCCCAATTTTTTCTGAAATAAAACGTAGAATGAATAGTCGAGGAAAAGAAATTTATTTTAGTTTAAAGTATGTCCAACAGAATTGCGTTTGAATTATTTGTAAAATTATTAAGATGGATTCCTCAGGTGCGCTTACGACAGTGTACTCGATATTTAAGGTTTATCAAGAATGGTGATGCGTTGCATATATTAATTTTCAAATGTAAATAGTGTTCGGCGAGGTGATTTCGGAAAATAGTCAATTTACTAGACTTAACAATTAAATAAGATTGTCACAGTTGTGACTTGGCTCAGCTTATTGATATCTCATCAAGTGTTTGCAATGATATGATTAGCAGCAACCAATTAGAATTGCATTTAGTTATGTATAAAATTCAATTGTAAAAATCAAGTATGCACGTTAGTTTATAATACAAAAATTGTTTTCTTTATACCTTCACTTTATACATAAGAAAAAATTAAATGCGCTTGCAAAAGGATTCGTTTGATTGAAATTTCATTTTTTTTTTCTTAATGTCATTCAATGCATTTCAATAAATTCTAGTTTTTCTTTTTGCAAATATAATATTATGAACTCAATTTCTATAATTAGATCTTAATGTATTCATATTTGAAAATTTCCAAGTTGAATTTGCAATTTGAAACTCAGAAAAGTTCTACATGAATATTTACCAATTAAAATTTCTATTTAGAATTTTAATTCCTATGGATACTTTTATTTTATTTTTAAATGTGAAAAATGGCAAAACAAAAAGTTGAATGGAAAAAGTTGCTATTCAAATTCATACGTTTACGTTCTGCCAAAAGATAAGGACATTAAAATTTTGGACAGAAGTTATAGAATAACTTTTCTTTTAATGCAATTAAAATAAATGAACTGAAATTTTATAAAAGCAATGTTTTTCGTATTTTTATATAAAAATGTTTGAATAAATTTTTGTAAATTCCACTTAAAACATTTAATTATTTCAAATGAATGAACCGTTTAGGGAAATAATTGCGTATAGTAGTTTAAGGTTTGTGGTATTTTATCACTTGTTTTTATTTAAATTTCTAAATTAACTTATTTAGTTAAAGAATACTCTTGAATATTTTTTTATGATTATTAAATTATTGTTTAAGTATATAAATATTTAGTTAGTATAATTAAGTTTAAATAAATGTTGTTTTTATGCATAAGTGCACTTGATTTCAGAATGCAAAATAGTATTTAACTTAATATATTTAGAAGCACATTTTAATAGGGAGGTAAGGACATTTGGGGCAATTTTATTGGAAAGAGCTCCTGTTCTGCAATATTTGTTTATTTATTCTGAATGATTACTTCTTGTTAGTTCATAACTGGAGAGAACAATAGAGGCTAATAATGCATCGCTTAAAAAGCTAATGTAGTTTAAAGATAAATTTAAAGATATCGTGTAGAGTAGCCGTGCGGAAAGTGCGGCTAAAGGGTAGCATGCGGCCAATTTAATTTCAAAATATGGCGCATCATTCTGCTTTCAAAAAAAAAAACAAAATATTCGATTGCGACTATTAAAATTTAAAAAAATTTTTTCAAAACAAATTTAAAGACCTTAATATAGGTGAAAACAAAACAATCAATAAGGGCAGTTTATAATGTCATTTCTTCTTGTATAAGTAGGTAATATAAAGAACTCGATTTGCCCATATTCTTACTTGAATAGTACATATTTGCATATAACCCACAAAAGTTTTTCGGGGGTTGGTGTAAGGGAAAAAGCAGAAGCGGTAAATATTTTATTTTCGGCTGTTTAAAAATTAATTCTAAATCCGAAACCTTTAGCTTCCCTTTCGTTTAATATTATAATAAGTAATTTCTGCTGCAGATCAACATTTCATGCATACCACTAATTGCTTTCAAATAATTCCTTTATATCTTATTATTTTATGAATTAAATTTCATTAATTTTATAAATGATTATTGTGTTAACAATAATTTACTATTAAAAATTGCTTTCGTTTTAATTGATCTCATCAATTTTATTATAATTCCTGGATAATAAAATGTAGTTATGATTATTATTAAGATGATATCAATTTAAAAATTATAAAGGGAAAAAATGACAACAAAAATTCAATTTATTAAAGGAAAATAATTTTTTATTTTAATAAAAAATAAAGAAAAAATATTTTATTTTGAATTTTGATAGTGTACGGTTGGAAAAATTATTTATTAAATTCAAATATCCTTAAAAAAAATTTTTTTTCATAATTTTTTCACTTTTGAGCACATTTTAAATAAAATTGAGAAAAATATGCTTAGCAGTTTTTTTTGTGCTACTGTTCCACCCATAATATGTTCATGGGGCTGTCATTGAAAGCTCTACATGAATAGACTGTTACAAGAATCATATTCCATTACAAAAGTTTTTACTCCGACAGTTTGACAAATTTCTATTCGAAGTCGAAATTCTTAATAATTCATTGTTTAAGATAAAAAGTAAATTACTTATTTATTTCTTATTCTAATTGCTTAACGTATTTGACCATTATAAATTCTTTTGATTCACATTCTCATTCTAAAAGTATGCTGTTTGTTCAATATTTTCAAAAAGAGCTCTTCACAAAATTAAATTATTTAAGGGAAAAATGCTACTTGACAAATCATTGGGTTGGCTCAAAATTTATTTCAATTGAAAATTATTTTCTAGAGGAAAAGAAAAAATTATGGCAAAAAAATTTTTTTATCCTTGCTTAAATTCTTCAAAAATGTAATAAAAAATCAATTTCCATCATCACGAATTTTATCACAACAAAAAAAAGGAGAAAGAGAAAGGAAAAGTAAGCAGAGAAATTTTGCTTACCTCATTTTACGGCAAAACTATAAATTTTTATGTATATTTAATCGTTCACAGACAGCGTCCTTTAAGTGTCCTTTTCATGTAATTTTTTACCATTTTTTCCCTATATTGCTTATTTTTTATTCTTGAGCGCTAACTTAAATTTTATGGTTTGGTATATAGTTTTTCGAAAATTTTAATTTTGATCTTTAAAAGTTCCGGTAAATATCTTTTTTCAAAATATAGAACTGATACGTAAGCTTGTTTTAAACGGGAATACAATATGTTGTGAATATCAGCTAGAGATTTTACCAGTTTGCCAATTTGAATTATCATAAAATTAGGGATTCTTTAAAAGTTATGCAAATAGAAATGCCAATCAGCACTTCGGTTTATGTCCTGGTTTCAAGCATAGCAGAATGTCATTATATGAACTGAAATTATAAAGAGGACAAAATTTCTTGAAAAACGAAATTTGTGGCTTGTTATGTTTGGTACTAACAAATATTCTGACCTCATAATGTCCTTAAATTTTCTAATTTTTCGCAATAGTAACGTAAAGAAAAATACGTGGGTATCAAAAATTCTTTAAAAATTTTTTTTTTTCTCATTGTACAATAAAAATGGCATGTGGGACGAAATAGCATTTGGTATTGTAAAATTATAAATACCAAAAAAAAAAATAAAAATAGGAAAAATAATAAAAATAAAAGAAAGAAATTATGGGTATTACAAATATTTTCAATAAAACAGAAGTGGAAGAACAATTTCACTTGAAAATTATTTTCATCGTGGTAAAAATTCATTTGCATACAAGGTAACAATTGCACGTTTCTTTTTTTTTATTTAGCAAAAAATACAAGAAAATTAAAAATAAAATTGCATTTTTTTGTGCAATAGAAACTTGTAAAAAATTTCCATTTATTTCTCATTTCAAATTCCATAGTCTGTGCTACTTTTATAGCTTTAAAAAAGTTTTCCAATAAAAAGAATGAAATCAAAGAAAGAAACAAAATAAAAATAGAAAATTCTAACATAATGGGAAAGAAGGTGAAAAAAATGGAAAAAAATTAAAAAATAGAATATTGTTAAAAGATCTTGTCGAACAAAAAAAAAAGTAAGGGAAATTAAAAAATAGGACATAAAAAAAATTAGTTGTTCCGAAAATCATAAAGCACGCCGAAAAATGTAAGTATTTGGAAGAAAATTTGAAATTCAGATGGGAAAATAAAATGAAGTGTTTTGATAAATTGTTTAAAACATTCAAGAAATTTACGCAACCAATAGCGCCATGAATAAACCTGTAATAAACCGGTAATATTGTTGCGGTCAAAATTTGTTTCAGCCTTCGAATAGTGTTCAGAGTTTTCGATGAATATTTTCTTAGGATTTTAAAGGTTGTCACTTTTTAATTTAATTTATTTGTTTATTTCCAATTATTTCAATAAAATTTCCAAATATTGGAGGAATCTTGCACTAAGACTCAACATTAAATGTAATTATTCAAATATGTAATATTTTTTGGCACTTTAACGACAGTAAAAAATTCTCTTCTAAGAATTGCATTCCTCTTAAAAACACAATTGCTTCATATCTTAACTAATATGAATATGGTTAAGTTGATGTTGGTAGAACTTAAAACTTAATTCTACTTTTGGCAGCGCTATTCTAAAGCAAAAAATTTAAAAACTAAAGGAATAAGGCCTACTTTTAAAAAAAATTGACAGCACTGCATAAATGAAAATAAATTTTTGAAACTAAATAATGCATTTAAAAGTTATTTAAAATAATTAAAATATCTATTAACTAAACATTGATTCCTCCATCTTCACTGTATAATTATAGTTTATCAATTGTATTATTAGTTTAGGTCAGTTTCTCATTATTTGCATCATTAATTTTCTTGCTGATAACGATCTGCTTTTTGAAGTGTTGTTACAAAAACGCACTATACATTTTCAGATCTAAGTAACATCTGACAGCATGAATTCAACTTATCTTTTAATCTTTGGTATCGTTCAACAATTTTTATTTGTTCAGAATGTTTTAGATTTTTTTTCCCACTGTAAACTGATTTTACGATTTATAGGTTTTTTTCTTAGCGTTTACTATGTCAAAATTGAAATGCAGTGCATATGCGAAATGTATGTGGAATATTTGTTTGTTTTTTTACAAAATGTGAGCCTATTTTTTGTTTCCCCATATTTTCTTCTAATAACGAGAGTTCTATATTAGCTTTGTTTTAAGTAAATTTTTGAAAAAGAGTTTTACTGGATCTTACGTCTCAAAGAAGGTTCTGAGAGACGTTGAGAAACAAACCTATCAAATATATATACGTAGTCATACGTCATGTTTTCGAAGAGGTTTCCGTAAGCTTTTTTACATTTAAGCATAAGGCCACTCGGCCCCAGATCTCAAAATACTTCTTAAAAATATGTCCGGTAAAACAAATTGATTCTAGGCTCGCGGCATGCTTTTTTGATTTTTACTTATTAACCTATCTAACCTATGGCCCACAATTTCTGCTTTTCAATTGTTCCTGAGAATTACCAAGATAAACATTTTTTGTTGAAAGGGTTTATACTTGTAATGACTCAATAATTTTCGAAATGCTTTAATTATAAAGTACTTTTGAAAATAGGATATAAACTTTTCTGTATAAGTTTTTTTTAGATTTCTTAGTTTGTCTCTACTTGCTTACGTTATCTTCGCCCATTATTGTTCTACACACGTTATTGTAAACGAAAAAAGTGAATATAAAGTGATAAAATATTTTACGAAATTTATAATAACTATTTTTTTTATGAAATACATACATAAAAACTTTTTTCATACTACTTTTTTCATACTTTTCTCCTTATTGTTTTTGAAACCAAACTGATAATATAAGAGTAAGGAATGTGAAGTTAAAAACTATTCAAATGTCTAACAGAGAAGGTAGACAAAAATAAAATCAATTTTATTTTTTATTATTATTTCTTTCTACTTGTTCTTTTTTTTCAATTTAACTTACCTCCAACAACTCGACAGGTAATAACAATATCATCGCCTTCTTGTTTTGGTCCTAACATTGTACCATTCAATTGACGTCCCCATCGATCTAATATGATTGGCTGTTCTGGTAGAACTGTGAATTGTTTAAAATTGCAAAAAAAAAATAAATAAATTTTTTTATATCATTTATGTATGTTTGATGAGAAAAACAAATAGTGTAGAAATTTCTGCAAATTGAAAATAAGCGCGGTATTTGTGTACATAAGTGTGAATGTATTTATGTAGATATCAGTGTGCATATATGTAAATAATATTTATAGTGGAATTATAATGAAAATTTTATGAAAATAAATTTTTAAAGAATTTAATTTGAATAAAAAAATTGATAAGAAATTATTCGTTAAGCTTTTTCATCCCATGAAGGATGAGCAAGTTTTTGTTAAAGAGAACAAAAAAGAGATATGAAATGAATATTGTATTTTAATTTCGAAATTGGTGAAATGGTTGTGGTGAATTAAAGATATGAATGACGTAATTGCGATTATTTAATTCATTCATTTATAAAAATGGTCATTGTATGTTATTCGCAAAGAAGAGGATTAAGTTTAGACAAGAGAAGTTTATACCAATTCGACTGTTTCATGATCATAAAATGGATTTCTCGTAAAAACTTCTAAAGTGGGCTGAGTTTATTTTATTTTAAAATTGTGTTCGCTTTTTAATTATATTTATGGGGCATAAAAACCCTCTTTTTATCAATAAAATATTCACACACTTCAACTACTATAGAATTAAATTTAAAGGAACATTGGGCTACTAGGTTAGTACTATCATAAAACACGTATCTCTAACAAGCAGGAAAATGTCAAAATTTAAAGCAAGTTTCTATATCTATACCTATACATTAAAAGTAATTAAGATTAAAAAACGAAATGCAATTAAATATTTACGGTGTTCTAAATTTTTACGTTTCTCCATACTTTAAATTAAAATATTTTTAAATTCTTTGTGCATATAAAAGATATCTCAGTTTATAAATGTTATATAAATAAAAGTATTTTGTCCGATTAACACAGATATCATCGTTTTTGTTTGTTATTAATTTAAATTTTCATGCTTGGATCCTTTGTGCATGCGTTTATCATATATAGAGAGCACGTAATATACAAGGCATTTACAAATTAATTAAAACATAAATCATAACAAACTATTTAAATGAGTGCACGTTTGATTGCATTAAAAATCATGTTTAATTTTTTTTTAAATATTTTGTAGCTGATATCAAATTTCAAGCTTGAAATTTTTCCATCACGCAAAAGATAAACGCAAAAGTTATTAACCTAAAAATTCAAAATGATTTTAATGTCCTTAGAATTAAGACTTTAACATTTTTCTGTTACATAAAAGAAAAAAATATTGCGGTATTATAAAATGTCTCTTTAATCAAAATAAATTGTCTGCCTTTCAATAACATTAACGTGGCGGGTTATTTTAAAAAATTTCTCTTTTTATTATCAAACTAGCTGCTGCATCTATAATAATTCAATAATACAATTTTTCTTTTTCGAAGAGACTGAAGAATTTTTGTGTGTGTGATTATTTAATAATGTGGATTCAATTCAGGTAAAGGAATAAGGAATGGAAATTCCTGTTTATTCATCTTACATAATGAAAATTTTTTTGAATGAAAAAAAAAGAAATATTAGATATATTTTCACGAAATATCGGAACAAACGAAAAAATCAGGATATAATAAAAAATGTGCTTTGGCTGTTTACATTTTTGTAGAAAAATTTGTATCAATGTTATTGGATCATCCAAAAGTTTGCTGGTCTGTTAAATATTTTATGACAAATATTACAAAATATTTTCATCTATCATAAAATAATTTTCACGTGATTTTTTTACAAAATATCCTAATTTGTATCTGCCGCAGATTTGCGTTATTTAAATTTCTGAATTTCTTATACACTCTTCGATCTAGATTTTGCCACTGTCCAGTGACATGTAACAAATCGTTTTAAATACATTATACATTGCGGTAAAAGAACCGTCAATTAAATTTTATTAAAATTTTAAGTAACATTGATTGTGTCCCTCATAAACTGAATTTAGTTGTTTTGTATTCGTACTATAAAAATTCTAAAAATCTGCATTTTTGAACATTTTGTTGAACTACTTTCAATAAAATTGTGCCAGTGGTGAGAACGGTGAACGTCTTGTAATTTACAATAAATTTGTGGGACAAATTTCATAATATCGGATTCTTGAATACTCAACGGCGCTGACAGAATAATTTATTAGATTAATTGAAGTAAAAAGTAGTAACACATGGTTATTGAGTTGAAATTTCAAAAATTAAGCCCATGCTTCAGTTTAGTTTAATTTCGTTTCAATAACACAGCATTATATCCGTTTCAATAAAATAATAACACAAACTAATGTTTGAAAAGGTTTGGTATAAAGATTGAACAGGACCGAACTTTTCTGTTTGAATCAGTTGAAATAATTACGTATGAAATTTATATTATATGAAAACAAGTTAGTTGAAAATAAAATTTTTCAGAACGCAGTGTTATACTTAAAGTTATTAAGATAATTTCCAAAAACTTTTGGATGATTCTCTGTTTAAAGATTTATACATACACGATTATATAATACTCACTTATAACTGATAAATTGTATCGAAAACTTTGTGTTTGGCTTGTTCGAAAATCAACACGGCATCTATAAATTCCTTGGTCGTGACGTTTGATATCCTGTAATGAAAAATTGATAAAAAAAAAATTATTTTTTTTTTTGTTTGTTGCGTTAAAGCGTTTTTTAAAGTTTGATTGGAAGGCACAAAAATTAAAAAAAAAATTAAGAAAAAAGTCAAATAATTCCTGTTAAAAAAAATGTTATGATGTGAAATTGAATTTTTCATAAATAATTTTCATCATCAATATATTTGGAGAAAAAAATTCAAGTAAAAGTAAAGTAATGAAAAAATGGTTATTGGCAACAAATTATGTGACTGTCTGTTTGATAGAAATCAATAAATATGTTATGGTTTGCTTTTGGTTATTTGGGTTTTATTTCATGTACATATATTAAAAATGAGTCAGCGATAAACAAAGTTTTGTTACCAATCTAGCATTAGTCATGAAAATCGGAATATTATAAGATTGAACTTACACTACTCATATAATAGGACAATAGTTAATACTGGTTTTAACTGGACCAGAAAAAGGTATGGTATTCCAAATGTAATATTCAAATAGCAATACCTAGATAACGTGAGTTTTCATTTAAAGTACTCTTTCCCATAAATTGTTTGCTTTTATCTGTAAATGGAAAAGAGAGCGCAGCGCGCAAAATGTAAAACAAACCTAAGAAACGATATAACGATAGAAATAGCGTTTACAAAATTTATTTTAAATTCAAAGCCTTTCATTTGCTTCATTTCAAAACCAGGGTGTTATTAAAGCAATACTAATATTAATTTCGTGTTAATCCAAGACACTCAGAAAAATAAAATGTTCACAGTAAAAATTTAAACGTTCTTATGTAAAAAATTTTAAATTAAACTTTCACATGCTGATATTTTTATACTATAGAAATTATTATGGGAGTCAGGAGAAAAAAAAAATTGAAAAAAAAAGCGCTAAAAAAGAATTTTTATTTTTCCCATTTGAATGAAAATTTTGTAATTTAATTTTCAGTTTTAGATGTAAAAAAAAAATATCGAAATCTTCCTGAATTTTTTTTTATAATAATAAAATTGAGGTGTGATGATTTTTTATTATTTTTTTTATGTTTGAAATGAAAACTAAAAGTGAATTTAGAAATTATAAAAAATTTCATTTTTTTGATTAAATTCATTTTTTTTTCTTTTTTTGGAAAAATTTAATAAGCTAAATGGTAATAAGCAAAAAATTGATTGACGTCTGACTGGGAAATTTTGTGAAAGGCAATTTAGTAAAAATGCTTTTATTTAAATTTTTTAGCAATTCACAGTAAAGTGGAAGTTGTTGGTAATGTTTTGATGTTAATTCTTGTGTTATAGAAAGCAGTTTGATATCTGAAGAATCCAATAAGCGATAGAGTAAGTAAAGGCATTTCATTTAGGAGTAAAATGATAAAGTTGTGATCAAATAAAGGATTCATGTAATTACTTGTAAGCTTGTTTTTATCGGAGTTTAAGTGTCGTTTTAAGTTTAATGGTCCCTTTCGGTGAAACTATTCTTAATATAGCTCTTGTTATTATGATTTACTATAATCGCAAAAACTATTTGACTGATACTTTTCATATTTTAAAATGAAAGCGACTTTATTAAAATATAAAGAGTAGTACCATACACCAGACAATTGAGTACATTACGATGAAAAATATGAAATTCATAAACTCATTAAATACTTCTTCATCAATTCAAAATGTAAATATGGTTTATCAGGTAAATAATACGTAATTCAATTACTATAAACAAGATTCAAAGCAAGCAACTTTTCATTCTTTAATAATAACCTCTTACTCGGATATATCGGTGCATTAAACACTTAAAAATTACAACATTAAGTACATAATTAAGTAATTGAGAGCAATTATTTTCCATCAAAGTAGAAGCAAAAAAAAAAAATTATAATAATTTTTCCAATATTAAAGTAAGAAAATAAGTATGAAAACACATAACATACTCATTATACCATAGTATATACAACTGATATTATGCGAGAGCAAAAAAAAGCATATCGCATATATGAACATTAATTTTTCATTTTAATCCTCATAAAATTTACCATCAATTTAAAGTGCTTAAAAAAATATTTTCTAATGAATTTAGTATGACTGAAGTAAGGTAAAAAAAAGGCTTATATTGTAATATTGCCTGTATTTCTTATGCTATATAAAATATTATATTGTGATGGTATAAATGTTGTTATAGTATTATGTACGTTTTATGATAAAGAGAAAAATAAATAAAGAGAAAACATTTAAATTTACACTTGCATACTAAATAAAATGAGCACATCTCAAATAAAAATCTCTTTAAAAATTCTCACAATATTTAGGGTAAAAAATTTAAAAGATATTATGTGTTTATAAGAATATAATTACAATTAATTATTGATAGTGACAGTAATTTTATAATGGCACAGTTGCATAACAGTAAATGCTATATAAGGATTGTATTCTTGTATTATTCAGATAAGGTAGTCACAGTTGAATTTATTTGATAATTTCTTATTTAAATTGTTAATAAAATAAACTGAATTAATTCTTTCAATACAAACAAAATAAAACACTGTAACATAAAATATAGTGCCTCTCGGTTATATGGGAGATTGTTTGGACAAAAACAAACTGAAGCGATTTAGTCTAAAGTGCTGTGATATAGAAAACTAATGATCAGTAATTATTAGTCATTTCATAAACTGATTTTAGAAGTTAATGACCATTCAGATTGCGTTTAAAATTTGGTTAAAATCCCCCCCTTTCGACAGGTCTGACGACAATTTGGGTGCACCTATCTTTGTCTTTCGATGATTTTTAACATTTGTATTAAAAGAAGAAATAAACATATATGTGTCTGCATGTGACTACATAAAGAATATCTGTACGAAAAGAAACAATAAATTTTTAGAAAATCCATTATTATATTAGATATTTTGATATTTAGGACTTAAGTGTAAATTTGAATTCATTTGAAAATTCTTCTTAAAAGCAAACCGCATAAGGTAACTACTTAGGGGTTGTTCCCGTTATTATTAAGATGCGATTCAATGTGTCCATTGAGATGTATTATGAAATATAAAAAAATATTTTCTTTTGTTACAACGGAATTGCCAACACTTAACTGAAGCTATTGAAAAAGTTAGAAGTTACAAAATTCATGCTTGTGAAATTTATTATTACAGTTATTCCTTTTACATTTTTTCAATGAAGTTTCAACATGTTTTAAGGGATATTCTATTATTATATTTAGAAAATAGACTCTAAAAGTTATTGTAAAAATTCTGAGACATTGTAAGGATACAGTCTGGGTGCTCCAAATGGTTGTTGACTATATGTTAATGCAAGATACTCGTATATACATATTAAAAGCATTAAAAATCCCTTAGGGTTTAATGAAGAAACAAATCAATCAAAAGGACCAGTTACTAAATAAATTTCTAACATCAAATTTTCATTTTGAATTGATTCTAATTTTCGTTGTTCACCTTACGATCATTTTTAGATGAATACCAAGCTACGAACCTTGTGAATAAGTTTGAACTAAAACTATCATATTTCGAGTAAAGAATTTATACGAATAAACTATTAAAAGCATTACAAATGGAGTTTTGAGTACAGTAAACAGTTCGTTATGAGCAAATATAAGATTTCGTTTTCAACTCATATCACAAGAACTAATGTACAAAGAAGCGGTAACAATAAAAGGCTTTGATTTCTTTTTTTTTTCTTTTTTCTCCACATCCTAAATATATTTTCCTTTCATTTTTTTTTATTTCTGGTCTTGTTAAAGTGTGTTATTTATGAGATTAATACGAGCGGTAGAATTTTGAAATACTTGAGATTTTTTATTTTTCTCTTCATTTCTTTCCTTTCAAAAAAAAAAAGAAAAAGTTACTTTAGGTTTTTTTTCCTTCTCTTTTTATTTTGGTAAACGTAAATTCTTAGTACTTTAAAATAAATTTTTCTTCATTGCTGAGGGTCTTACTTTACTTTAAAAAATGGTGAGGTGTTTTTGAAAAATGTTCTTTTTTTGTGTTTTTTTTTTATTATAAAATACAACACAGAGCTTAGAAGTAGGTATAGGTAAAGTTACATGAATATGTTGGAGTTACACACAAATACATATATAATAGTATATTATACATAATTTACTTATACATATTATATTAAGACTAATAAAGTTGAAAAGATATTTGCAAAGGTATTTAGAAAGGGTTACAAAGAAAGAAAAAAACTCAATTGTACAATGAGCAAAGAGCAGGTGAAGCATAGGTAAGGGATATTGGTGGGAAAGGACTTTGATGCTACTACACCATGTATAATAGGATTTTATATAATATCATTTTTATTATGTCCTTATGGAATTCCATTTTTTTTATTTTCAATTAAATTTCTAAAGTATAATGCAGAATAATACGTCAAATTGTGATTGTAAGATTATTATGGCAATGTGCGATATAAAATTTTAGATTTACTAATGTACTGAGATGAGTTATGTATTTCAATTCATTATAAATGAACTTTTAAAATGATACTTTGGAAACGATAAATTGAATAAAATCTTTTTTTTGATCTTTTGCTTTTAATAATAAATTTTATTTTTAGTACAGAATGAAATATAATTGAATTTTTTGTATACATAATTTTAAAGCACTCATCCTCTAAAAAACATTAAACATTTATAATTTGTGATTCAATGTTAAAAATTTGCTGTATACAATAGTGGTTATATAATTAGGCGACCAATGTTAAAATTTTAAAGTTTTAGCTGGAGAAAAATTTGTTTTGTAGAGAAAAGGAAATAAATGGTCTAAATATACGAGACATGTAAAAATAATCAACAATTGTAGGAAAATATTTTGCATTTAATGATTAGACATGTAACACTTTTCAAAATTTACTTTTGAAAGACAAGGGAAATGGCATTGGAATAAAAAGACACTGTTCCTCGTTAGCTTTAAAGCTTCAGCTTAAATCCTATTAAAAATTTGTGTGATATAGTAAAAAAAGCATCAATATCACAAGCCAAATAATAAGGAAGAA